CAGAAAAGCAAATTGTGCCACTTCGATTCGTCAAAATACACAGACTAATTCATAGACATTAGATCTTTGTTGCAGCAGCGTTCACCCGACATTTTGCCTTCCATGTTTTTGCCGCGCTGCTGCCTTTCTATGACCTTGATTACAGTTATGAAGCTCAAAATGTGGACACAGACGACTTTCAGTATTTGGGTGGGAGGAGCTTGATAGAGTGGGCATGGTTTGATAGCATTTTTCCGGTTCCAGTTCCATTATCTCCATTCAAAGAAAACATTTGAGGACCGGACCAGGCCAGACGCCCCTCTCCTGGGCCCCACATTCAGGACAGGTACTATTCGGCGGGGGTTAGGTTTTGCATGAACCCTGCCTTCGAGACAGAATTGCTCGCACTTGATATGGCCAAGATCCGAGCAAGAAAGTTCTGTTCATTGGTCCTTTACTTATGCCAGCGCGGAACGAGTGGCAACTGTGACAGGGAGCAGGGCTCGATTCTTACACTTAAAGGAACCATTCAATGATCAGGACGGATTCTCACTGTTGCACCCTCAACTTGAGCATTGCTTCTTTCTCATAAGACATTCAAACATGCTAAAAAAGAATTGAGCAGAAGCTAAGGTGGCAAATAAGATAGCAGAAAGGTAGAGCGAGTTAGGCAGAGATGGCTGTTTTGAGCTCAGTCTATTACAGGAATTGTAAGGCTCGGAAGCAATCTCAAAAACAAGCAAGAGCTGTGGGCGGGGGGGGGGGGGAGGGGAGAGGGAGCACAACAACCGTCCAGGAAATGGTAAGGCGAGGTGCAAGAAAGGTAATGATGCCTTGTCGGATGCAGGAAAACCAGTTCATTGCTGGCGTATGGACTGCACCATACGGCAGCAAAACTCGTCAATAAAGGCATTCAATGGGTTTTTGATGCTGCTAATTGCTATTGCGAAAAACGCAACCAAAGAAAATTCTGTTCAGTATTTTTTAACGCATCAAACAATAACAACATCGCTGACTGGTACACAGACTCAACACGAAGTTGATTATGTTTGCTCCAATGAACGCTATCCCAAGTCCAAAAAGCTACAAACTTGGAAATTAGTTCAAAGAGAATTGAGTGCAAAATTTGCTGAAGTCTTCTTTCTACCTTTTATATTTTACGTTGGTCGTCAGATTCTTTATGACAGGGAGGCACGGCAACGTATTGTTTAGAAAGCTCTTTATCATGTAGCAGGAAAAGAGTAAATGCAGTTTACTATGAATATAAAAGTTTTATCCCACAATCTTTGTATTTCAGAGAGTCGGTTCCTGTTGTTTAGCAAGTTACCATTCGGTATAACTTCGCGAAACAAAACCGCCCAGAACTGGATATCATGCACAATCATACTATGCTATGCTTTGCTATTTCGATATTTCGATTTGAAAGCTTCGAAATAAAAGCGAAGGAGAGGGTGACTGACATCACTGGAATGTGATAAGTAATTTCATTCGATCATCCTGAGCAAAAGAGATGAGCATATATAACTACAGAGTATACACATCATCATCGACCGCCATTAAACCCTTATATCATAAGTTCACACGACCTTAATCATGGAAAATCTGGAAAATATTGAGAATACTGTATATTATAGCTATCATTTGGGGAATTGTAGATTTACTGTATATTTTGAAGATAGGGTTCGAAGATTAGCCGGCTAAAAAATGTAGGAAGAGTAAAACGTAAAAAGATGAGTTGCATGTCATAGCAATGCTTAAAGGCAGTGGCTCGGGAAAATCGCGACTGAGAGTTTTTCAACTGCTGATTCGGGTACTGTGGTTCAAATGTCAAAAAAGTGTTTTTTTTTTTGGAGTCTACCGTTGGAGATTGCTGGAGAGGCGAAGCGAGGGATTCCCGCCATTAACCAGCAAGTGACTGCAGGATACTGTATCTTCACTTATTTTGGGGGCAATTGGCTGATCAGCCCAGGCAATCAATACGATACAGTTGACGAAAATTCCTCGCCCCGCCTCTCCAGCGATCTACAAGGATGGAAAACGCCAAAAAAGCACTTTTTTGACTTTCCAAGCAAAGTACCTGACTTAGCTGGTCCACAAGGCATGTAGTCGTGGAAATTCCCCAATCGCGATTTTCCGAGCCACTGCCTTTAACATCTCGTCTTTTCGGTACTGTTTTTTTTTTACATGGGCGAATCGGGACCTTCTAATGTTGGCTTCAGTCTTGTAGCTAATGTGAATCAAGTAAGGTGATATTTTTGTTAACCTTTCTTCATCTCTCCATATGAATAAACGGAGTTTTCGCTCTTTATCTTCATGCTCATTATTCATTAATCACACTTTTTTTTAAACATTTTGCGGATTAGGTCTCATTGTGTCTTTGGTGATAAGAGAACGAATCGCCATTGTTAAGAAAGCCATTGCGGTAAGTATTTGAGTTCCCTGAAAAATCTGAATATTTTGGGAAAAGGTAAAGATGTTTTGATTGTCTAGAGGCTGTATGCTCTTTGCTGCCTGATAAGCATTGAGAAACGGAAAACTGAGAACACGACCAAGTGTGGATGTAAATTAAACATTTAAGTTGAATGGTTCCAAAAATTGGCTAGCACTCTACTTCGAGGAAAAATTTGTAATCTTAACAAAAGTCTAACGTACTTGGATTACCTAGATCTTTTCCTATTTGCGATAGGTGAGCTTCGATGTAGATTTCTGAATGTATTTTCCATGCACTTATACAGGGACTTTTCTTTAAACCTGGGCATGTTGTATCGGGTATCGTGTATTGTTCTTCTGCCAACCAGGTTTTGTGGTGGATCTTAATTGACCTTTTTTTGAATAAAGAAATAAAGAGGTCAATAAAGATCCACCACAAATCCTGGTTGGCAGAAGAACAGCACACGATTTCTGAATGGTTTTTGAGAACTATGTACTCTTTCATAATCTGTACACTCGGCCGGAAGCCAAAGTGAACTTATACAGGGACTTGTTATCAGTTTGTACTTGTTGTGTCAGGCGGTTCTCTCGTTTGCAATGTTTACCCATTTGGCTACTGTTTTCGAATACATTTGATTTTCTGTTGATTAGTGGTAGCTGTAATCCTGACTATCTCTACAAGCTCTCTACAAGCGCATTCTGTGTATTTCGTAAAATTACCTGGGCCAGATTATGGAGAATATCATCTTGCAAAACTTACTCAGGTTTCTATTCAAAAGTGATAAGCACCGAGCTTTCTCCATAACTAAAATTTATAGCAAGATTACTCCTGCAAGATGATTTTCGTTATATCCTGTCCGAATGGAAACGGAGCAAGCGTTGTAAACATATTTGCAGCGAGTGTATCTTGAGTCCCAGTAATTTCTTTGCATACCAACGTTTAGAGATGTACGGCTCGTAACCTGCTTGCTCCCATTGGAAGCTTACCTGGGTACAAATTTGTAAGAGATTCTCCACTTTGATAAGCTATTAGAAGTGCATAATTTCTACACAAATTTTATGGGTCTTCGAATGAGTAGCAAGCTGTTATTTAAATCTTTGTTCTGATTGATGTGTGTGCCTCAGAAAATTATACCGACCATATGGGATGGGGATATATAAATACTTATCCCCTTTTCTTTGATCTTGATTAGGTCAGCACTGTTCATAGTTCTGATTCGGCGCTGATCTTGAAAATTGAGATTCATCGGAGATTTTGGTTATTGATTTATCCAAGTTTTGAACAGAAATCTGGGCAGATATGGATAGCTGTACCACGATATAATTCAAGTGATTACAAAAATTGGTCTGCAACGCTGTCATAAAGAAATTTCAGCTACTTTATTGTTTTCCTTGTAAACGCGCAGTCAGGAGTTTATTAAGCCGGGTTCTATGAATCCTTAGTGAAATATTGGAGCAAATATAGACCCTTTATTGCGCGTGGCTTCAAGTGACTCCCAAATAAGTTTGAAGCGTTGGAGACCCCATCGAAAACATGTGTAAGCTCTACTGTTTTCATTTCTTTGATCCACAAGTTCTTTCACAGAATATGTATTTGAGTTAAAGGCAGCGTCCAGGCAAGTAAGACCTATGGGATTTAACGTGGAAAGCACTTTTGGGGCCCTAACTAAGCCACTGCCCAACCGGCAGCTCAGGTAGTGCCCGAACGCCTGAGATATTCCCCTCGAAACTGGACCCCGCGACCGTGTTTCGCATGGATTCATGGCGCAAAGCGTGGATCCTGGTGCGAAACTGCCATGAATCCATGCGAATACGTTCGCGGGGCCAGTTTCGAGGGGAGTATCTCAGCCATTAGAGCACTACCTGAGCTGCCGCTTGGGCAGTGCCTTAGTTAGGGCCCCAAAAGTACTTTCCACGTAAAAGCCCCATAGGTCTAGATCTGCCTGGACGCTGCCTTTAAGCACTGACTTCGTTGATAAAAGAAAATCCTTTCTTGCTATAGCTCTCTGCGATAGCCCTCAGCGACTTTAGAAGGCAGATTTCATAAATAATTGGGCACTGATTTCTATTTGCTCAAAATATGGAAAAGCTGCAAAGGGAATTCCAGCTGTATCATTAACACTTTCACCAAGAAATGTTGTGCTAGTCGTTGTTTGTTGATACTATTGATACTGACCGATTAGAAAACAAATGAGGACCTCGTATAAATAGATGACGTGTATAACATAATCACAACAGAACATTTCATTCAGAGTCCTTCAAAATTTTTCGGAAATAGTGACTTTAAATATTCAGTAATCTTAATGGAGTTCATCCTTGAAGTTGGGGAGCAGTAGGATTGTTTAACTCTATGATTCTCAATCCCATTGCTAGAAAATATTCTTAGTTAGAAGAGCCTTGCGAAGGCTGCTGATATTGGGCATTGTTGCACATTTTGTGTGCTGTGCTGAGTGGAATACACATAGAATAAGATTGCTGATAATCTTGATTTTTGTGGAAATCTAGCTCTTTTTTATTAAATGAATATCTGTAGCGGTCCCATTGATTATTTTGTCGCACTGGAAGCAAAACTTTTGATTTTCGAGAAGTTTGTTTCAGATGTCTTCTATGAACAAACGGAAACACAGCGACGTATCATCAGATCGTAATCACAACACTAAAACACCAGGAGGTGAAGAATGTCAATCAAATGCAGAACAACTGAAATGGAAGAAGGAAGTGAATATCCAGAACTACATAAAGAGCATACGGTATCACTTTGACGATAATGCAGAAATACTTTTTACAGTATTACGAACGTCAAGAACGACTTATTCGGTTTTATAAGCAAGACCAGGAGCTCAATAAGCCAAAGCCACAAGCACCCCCAGAAGACGATCAGGAAGATCAGCGATTATTGAACTATTGTCTTGCCCTCACTATATATTCCCTTTTCGGCAATCTTTTAGCATCTATATTATCAGGATCTCTTTCGATACTCAGGTATTACTCTCTTTTTATAATATATCGCCTAAGATTTATTACTCCTTAATTTTAGTACATTTGTGGACGCCCTAATGGATCTTATGTGTAGCGCGGTTATGAATACCTGCCTTCATCTCATCGAGAAGTCTGACACAGTTGAGTACCCAAGAGGGAGGCATCGGTAAGCTTTTCAATATAATTTTATCGTCAGGAAGTGCTAAGAGTACGTTGAAATGCTTTCACGACATTACGAGTTTTAGTTGGCTTCAGAGCAATTTCGTCTGTATTGGCCAGCTCTAAGGCAGTGGATCAGCAGAATACACCTCTGTCAGATTTTGGTAGTAATAGATAGTAGAACACCCGAATACACCGTAGCCCCAACCGCACCTTCCAATTCATGCGCTAAGTCCTAAAAAAGCGCTTTAAAACTCCACCAATAACTCCACCATTTTCACCAGCCCCGCCCCTCAATGGAAGTGGGCGGGGCTGGTGGAATTTTGGATCTCCATTGCAGGACTTAGAGCATAAAATGGGGTGGGATTGGGGTTACGGTGTATTCGGGGGGTCTACTACCTAACATTACCAAAATCTGATAGAGGTCCATTCTGCTGATACACTGCCTTTAAGTATATATGGAAAATAGGAAATTCTGATTAGTTTCTGCTTTTCCTTAATTGGATGCAAGAAACGAATGCATAAAAGAACAAGAGCTGTTTCTTGAGAAGCAAAGCGATTTATCATTAGGATATATAGAGAATAATGATTAGTAGCTTGCAAAAAAAAAACACGATCTTTAGATTGTTTTGGACTTCCTTTATCAGAAGTCATCTTCTCCATACCGCGAATAAGATTTTTGGTATAGTCTTCGTTTAAACAGTACTTGCTTGTAGGCTTGAATATGTTGGAATCATGATGTGTGCAAACTTAATGGCCTTCGCGAACATATTTATGGCGATGCAAGCGTACAACAGTATCGAGGATGGTTCCGTAAGTTGTACAGAAGTCGAGCATTTACGTGCTATCGCACCTTATGGCTGTAATTGAGAGTAAGCCTGAACTTACTCTGCCAACGACACTGATTGTGGGCACGCAAACTATTTTGAAAGCTCTGCTGTCATGGATTTGCTATCGGAGAGGCTCTCCATCCGCGATCGTCATCGCCATGGACTTGAGGTCAGAAACATAGATGTGGCTTTCGGTTACGATATTCTTGAGATATATAAAGTTTAGAAATGATGTCGTAACGCGATTATCTGCTGTTGTATTCGCGTTCATCGGAGACCGATATTGGAGGCTAGCAGATCCGATAGGAGCCATCGCTATATGGTATGCTTATATCAAATTAGTCGCTGTAAGAGATGTCTGATCGAAATTTCTGAGATTAAAAGTTGAAAGTTCACCGCCATTTTTGTCTTGGTTGCAGAGAAGAGTCTTGTATCTCGGCTCTGTTTCTGAAGCACTCTTCCTTTATCACAGAGCTAGCAGAAGGAAGAAAAGTTTAGAAAATGCCACAAGTTATATATTATACAATACCAATCTGTTCATTTCTATATATTCATTCATTTAGCTCAATGATAGCTCTGTCATGGTTCTACCATGCCCTGGAGCACATACCACAGCTTGTGGGAAAAAGAGCAAAGCAAGAGCAGCTGAGCAGAATACTCAAGTTAGCAATTGATCACGACCCCAATATCAAGTCAGCTTCAGTTAAAACTCAAGTGTATGAAAGAATTGTGTTGTACTTTAGATGTTTGGATCATGTGATGGTGTATCACACCGGAGAAAAGGCATTTGTCGAGATGCATGTGGTAATGGACGAAGGTCTCCCTCTCAAGGTGGATACGAATAGCTTTACGGAAGTCTAGTTCATATATGTACTAGCTATTTGCAGATTACGCACGATGTTTGCGACTCCCTCGAGAAGAAGCTGCAGCGATTGGATTTTGTGGAAAAAGCGTTCATCCATTGCGATTATTATTGTGATGGAGACTGAGAGAATTTGTATATATCTTCTGTAGATAAAGTCTAAGATGCAAGTTCCTCACCGATTACTTGCGTTCTAAATGAGGAAGATAATCTGCATATGCGAAAATATCCCTGGATCCCACTACTTCCTAGGAAAAAAAATCCTTCTCGTCACGAGACCCTCTTTATCCCATTTATCTTGAGGAATAAGGCTTAGGGTTGTTTCATACTGCAGTCGCTGCAGCGACGGCAGTCGATCGATCGATATCTTTTGCCCGCCCTAATATGTCTGCAGCTGCTGCAGCGACTGCAGTATGAAACAACCCTTAGGATCTAACCTAGAGAATCAACAATCAATATTTTCTCCCTCTGCTCGCTAAGGGAAGTTCGTATGGTATGTTGGTCTTGTCAGTTGAAATGTACCTTGTAGGCAGTCACAGCTTTACAAATTTATATTTATGGAAACCATTTTCCCCGTTTTGAAATCGCACACTAAGGGCCGCACGCACTAACGTCGCCGCGGGGAGGGGATCGCAGCTTAGAAGAAAGCTTTATACTTCGAAACTCCAGTTACCTGGATTTCACGTTGTGTACCCATCCGTAAATATTCCTACTACCCTTCACTATGAACATGTTGAAGAGGAGCGAGAAGCTGTGCAAACCACATTTTCCAGCTTTTGCATGATCCCTGATGATCCCCAGCGCTTTTCTTTGAAGTCATTTTTCTTTCTCCGAAGTTAACGAAAAACTTCCAAAGTTGTGCAGATTATCTAACTCAACAGTGCTAAGCATGTTCGTGATAAGAACAAATGATGTTTTGAAGTCATGAAATTTTCGATGATCCACAGGTCGAAATTTGAGGTTTACCGAAAAATTCGACTTTTCAAAAACTCATTTGTTCTCATCAGCAACATGCTTAGCACTGTTGTGTTAGATGTTCAGTACAACTTTGGAAGGTTTTCGTCAACTTCGGAGAAAGAAAAATGACTTCAAAGAAAAGCGCCGGGGATCATCAGGGATCATACAAAAGCTGGAAAATGCAGTTCGTACAGCTTCTCGCTCCTGCTCAACATGTTCATAGTGAAGGGTAGTAGGAATACTTATGGATAGGTACACAACGTGAAATCCAGATATCTGGAGCTTCAGAATATGAAGCTTTCTTTTAAGCTGCAATCCCCTCCCCAGCGGGGAGGTCAGTGCATGCGGCCCTAAGACAGAACAAGCCTTCGCTTACAACATTGTTGATTGAAAAATTGAAGAAAACTGAGAAATTGTTTAGAAGTTCTATATTTTGAAAACATCCTGAGCAGTATCGTCATCGAAAACAGTGACACTTGGTCCTCCGAAGTGCGCTCGAGAAGCGGGAAATGTTTTTTAAATCAGTTTCGAAACCATTTTGAGATATTTCTCTAAATATTTTGGCAGAAAATTGGTCTTTGTTGAAAGTGCATAGAGGATCTCACAATTGATTTTCAACACAAAGTTGTTGCTCGTACGCAGTACCTTGCAAAACTTTTCTCATATTTCTTAGGAGAACAATGCGTTAGAAATGTAATCAGGACTTTGTTTTTAAATGTACTATACATGTTCTAGAACCTAAGCCAAATCATTCAAAAGGGTTCGATTCAACTGTAGAGCAAGATATGGATGTAGAGTAATTGCTTTATCTTTTTTTCAAAACCACTGGTCTGAGTCTTTTGTTTTTAATAAGTATATTTAACTTCTGTAGTTGTGCGATTAGAGCCTATGATATGAAGAAGCGCATATGTCTCAGCGGTTTTTAGGTGGCACTGCTATGCAAAGTTACTGAACATAGGTATATAACTTTGGCCACCCTGTTCTTATATTGGCAACGTAAAGAACTTTGCAGCATTAGGATATAAAGTTTTTTTAAAGTCTGTGGCTCAGCAGGATTGCAGTTGCAAGCATTCCATCCCTCCTTGGCTCTGGGGGCGCTGAGTCCAGTGTTGTGCTTAAAAAGCCAAAAAGAATTTTTCACTGCGCCGGCCCAGGAGATTGCTGGAGGGGCTGGACGAGTAATTCCCGTCAACTGAGTCGCGATTGGCTGCTGAGTCGATAAGCCAATCGCCGTCAAAATGGGTGGAGTTACAGTCTCCTGCAGCCAGCCGCTGCTTCTGCGGGAATTCCTCCTCCATCCCCCTTAGCAATCTCAAAGGCCGGAAAGCATCAAAAAAGCATTTTTTTTGACTTTCCAAGCACCGTCCCTAACCCCGCGGTCTTAACCCAATCTATTGTCACTAAAAAAAGTCTAACGCAGGTGTATCAGCACTCAAATGATGAATGTTGAAGTAATGCCCATGAGTCGATGAGCATGCCAATTTTGCGCAGGAAAAAGCCCAAAAACTCGCTTCGGAATGGTGCGTGGCAGCTAGGAATAGCATATTTAAAATTAGCTTTTGAAGCTGATTCGAACTATATATGTCTCTTGCCAAAAGGCCGAGCTAACAATAAGTTAGGTAGATTCCCTTATTAGAAGCCCATCTAGTTATGAAAAGCCTGCAGTCGCAATTCTCCCGAGCCGCTTCCTTCAAACTGCGAATCCTTCCCGCAGCGGATGTTTATGCATGCGGCCCTAGGGCGCTCTTGGACTTGGATTAACACTCATTGACATGTTTTACCGAGTAATGTCACCACTCAGTTTATGTGCTTGACATGTGAGTCCTGTTTAAACGCAGAATTACGCTTAATTTTCGGGTGAGAAGTATTTTCGGCCACCTACAACAGCGGAGCGGTTGCTCGTAAATCATGTCACTGTCAAGACTCCGCTACTTTGACTCTGGCTACTATCGAGCGTAAGTTTTCAATTTTGCTCCGATTTTCTGGTAAATGGATTGATCAAGTTTATTATGCCAATTTAGTAAAAACATTCTCAACGTATTTTCTGGGTTCAATTAACGGTCATATCTCAGTGCCAAACTTGATCTTTTAGCCAACAGGAGTTTTCTGTCCCATCCAGTTCAATATCTCAGATAACACCTATATTCATGATCTTTTTCTCTGCTATTGTTTTGTGAGACGGGCTTGTATTCTACACTGTTCAAAAAGTTTACTCAAGTGAAATAGTTACTCCACCTGTCACAGCTTCAGCGATTTAGACTTTGACCATACATTATCAATGTTACCCATGATAATAGTGTTACTCGCGTTACTCGTGTTACTACTCAAGCACATTTACCGGCCGGCGACCGGCCGAAGACCGGCTGAGGCAACACCGTCATTCCTTCTGGGCCGGCCGCCGGCCAGTGGCAGGCCGGAAATGGCGAAATCGCGAGCCGGTGTCGATGGCATTGAAACGCTTCATACCGCGGCTAATTAGCTTTGGAGCATGCTTTCTATCTCTACTCTTTCATACTTACTTTCTGGTATTTCCAGCATTTGATGTTCTCAGTCATCTTTTCCAAATAGAACCATCGCTAGCCTTATTGTAAGTACAGAAATATACAGAGCCAAAACATGTGTGCAACAATGAATCACGAAATGCATTTTTGGCATTTAAAAACAAACAACAAAAACAACACAATAAAACGTATTGAATAAACTTAGGAAGTGCCTAGGTTAGAGGTAATACATGTGGTAAGATCACGTTAGGATGATGGAGAGCAACGTACAGCGAAGCATGCCCGACAGCACATATTGCACTATTTCCTTGGTTCCTTCTGGAAGACAAAACAGTTTATTGAATTTGAAATAACTCTGTCAATTTTTCATGAAATGATAAACTCTTTGAATTCGAAGAAAGCGACTTCAACTGTCTTTCAGAGATCACGTATTTGTAAGCATTACGATCGTATTTGTAAGCATTACGATGATTTGAATCCGCTTTCCTAGTTCGTACTCAAAGTAATCAATGCAAAAACTAAAACTTGAGCTATATGATCACGTGCGTGATAAGAGCTCAGGACGTTATTCCAATCATTTTTTTCTTAATTTGTAGTTATGGGAAAAATACGAAGTGTGCGATTGAATGTTCGATGTGTCAAGCATATGCTAGAAATATAGGTCGTTTCGAAAGTAATGTCGCTTTTTTCAAATGAACGCCACATCTAATGGAATTGTGATTTTCAGGAGATCTTAAAAGCATTTGATGCACATTTCTTCCTCTTTCTAATGGTCGTAATTTCATTGCATGATATTCATCGAGCTCTCGAAACTACCAAAATCTGCGACTCATGCTTTTTGCCATGGTCAAGTCTATTTTTCCATATTTTTGTACTGATTCCCCGAAGATGTGCAAGTAACATATAAATAGAGCAAACCCTCTAGGACACAAAACAACTTTTTTCTTTTCCTTAGTTTGCTACTCAGAGTTTCTGGAATCAATTTTTCTATGTCATCAAATTCCATATTTCGAAGGCTCAAACCTCACAGAAGAACAACCGGCAAGCAACTCGGGTGTCATTCGACGCAGCTTCTTCTACTCTTTCTACCGGTTGTTTTTTGTTTCCGATTCATCAAGTTTTCCGGAATAAAATTATCATAATTCAGGTTTTCCAAGGCGCCCCAGGCTGTACCAGGAATTTTCGAAAGTTGCTAATCTGAAGCAGTAAATGCTCATTTGCTTTGTAAAATTAGTGTCAACCCATAATACATCTTTGTAAGTTTCAAAATACGAAGATTTACTGGTGTTTGATGCATTTATGTCTGAGACGAGCCTGCTAAAATTCGGTGGTTCTATCAAAAATCCATACAAAAATTATGACGAGCTCTGGAAAGTAAAAAAATTGTGCTGTTTTCTGTAGGGTTTGCTTTATCCATCCATTACTTGGACCCCTTCCGAAGGTTGTTATAAAAATTTAGGAAAGTTTTGAAACTTGGCCTTCTCAAAAAGCATGGGTCGCAAATTTTGGTAATTTTTCGAGAGTTTATTGGATTTTTCTGCAGCGGTTACATAACCTTTAGAAAGAGAATGAAATGCTGCATCAAATGCTACCAATATCTCCTACATATCTTTGTTTCACGTGATGTGGCGTGCGTTTGAAAAAAGCGACATTACTTTCGGAACGATCTAATAAAAGGGGATTTTTAAGGGTTTTTGGGGCAGAGAAACGCCAAAAGGCGACGGTAGTATTGAAAACGGTAAAAAATTATGAATCACGTTCATAGACCCTAGATTATCGATTGCTAAGCAAGCTTTAGCATCCAGATTCAAAACAAGAATAAATGACCAAAAAAGGAGTGCAGAGCTCTGTATCAAATTTTAGGCATACAGTTGCAGCGGTAGAATTTGTCCAAAACTGCGGGATCGTCGGGATTCGCGGGATTCGCGACTTCACGGGATTCGCGGGATTTGCGGGATTTGCGGGATAAGCGGGATTTAGCTGTAACTTCTTTTAAATCCACTTTATTTGCAATTGCGTATAGATTTGGCTTCAGCTTGATGAGACGAATCGTTTGATATACAGTATGTCCATAATTCGTGGTGAGGGGGTAGACTTACAATGATACCTTGCTGTTTTCTTTGTTAAGGCTTTTGAGAACAGTTATCACAGCGTTGTTCGCGAATAGCAGGTTTTGGTACAAAGTTCTCATTATCGAAAACTATCCTGAAAAATTGGGCAGTTTTTATCTACCCTTATCACTGAAATAAGCATTTTATCATTTATCACTGATAATATCACATTTTTGGATCATTTTTTGCATATGGTAAGAAAAGTACTGTAGGAAACGCTATGTGAATTTATATCGCTCTTTCTCCATTATAAGTGATGTACAGGCTTTTCTATTTCTACTACTCGGTGCAATTGGTAGATCCCTCGCTGCAGCGATCGATCGATTTCTCATCGGCACATGCCATTGCTGCCAATTCTTACCTAGAATGGCATTTTTGCTTCAACTCGCTTCATGCCGCAGCCTGGGCTGAAATTCTGCACCTATATGGAAGATGAACGTGGGAATCGACCGCATGAATTTGAGCCACTCTTATCTGTCGTTGTCATTGGTATCATCATTTTATCATTTATTACTGACGATATCACAAAATTGGATCATTTTTGACATACATTAAGACATGTACTTTCGAAAACGCTGTGCGAGTTTTTATCGCTTTCTTATAGTACAAAACCACTCACAGAACATGCAAAATTTCCGGGAATTCTGCGAAATTCATTCCGCGAAATTCCGGAAATTCCGCAAAATTCATGTGAATCACGCAAATTACCCAGGGCCATAACTTCTTTTCGAATGAGTATATTCAAAATCCGAAAACAACATTGTATTCAGCTCGTCAAGGCGAGCCTTTCTATGTACAGGTTGTCTCCAACGCCTCTTCGCATGGGTGTAACGCAACGAGCATCACACATAGGAGATTGCGGTGAGCACCGTTCGACACTACTCTTTCACTAGATTATCCGGCGCTGAACAGCAGCCAATGACTCTTTTTTAAAAGAGATAGAAGAGCTGATAAACTTTGGAAAAATCAAGCTGTTTCAAGTTCTACTAGCCGTAACTTCCTTCAGAATGAACATCTTCGAAGTCCGAAAGCAGCATTGTGTTCACCTCGTCAAGGCAATTCTTACTGTGTACAGAAGGTCCTTAAAATTCTGTTTCCATTTTTTCCAAAATTTCCTGCGCGCGTATATTCACAAGGTCGCAACGGAATGCACATCAAACATAAAAGACCCCAATAAGCACTTTGGATTGTGCCACTTCCGCGGATTATCGAGCGCTAAAAAGACACCCGGGAATGTTTTCGAAAAAAGATAGAAGAGCTGGTGAATTCTGGAAAAATAGTGTTGTCTCAAATTTTGCCCACCGACCCTACAATGGGAAGCTCTACTGCTAAGCAGATGTGATTTTCGTAATCAGCAGGTCAGACAATCTCTATGAGCAAGTTTTCAAAAACTCGGTTGATCTGATTATTTCCCGTTCTTCGCCCTGAAGCTCGCCGATGGGTGTTGGTCGAAATGGATGATCTTGGATCGTATGGAAACTCCGCTCAAAGAGGTTTTCGAACGCGCTGTTTACGAGGATCGTCTTTTGCGCGGAGTACAGAGCTTTCTAGCAGAGATATGGTGAGGGAAGTTTAGCTAAGCCGCGCAAGTTCGCAGATTCGCCTGCATTTTTCGAGCACCTCTTAGAAAATCTGCTTGCTTGCCTTTGCAGGTTAAATTCACTAGAAGGCGTGCTATTCAACGGTGCATGCATCTGGCTTCAAACTATAGCAATCACCGAGTTAGGGGCCTACGAAATCACGTCCTCATGAGTTTGCCCAAAATGTAAAGATCGCCTGCTTCGTAGAAATTCACCTAAGTGATTGTAAGCCACGCTGGTTACCAATTTTGTGTTCACATCGCTTAAGGAATCTATTTTGCTGTACTGGAAGTAATTGAATAGATCTGAGCTCTAGCCACGAATCTGCTTTGATATTCACCTAAGGCGGCTCAGGCACACACAACCACCACATCCAATACGATAAGATGTCGAGAATCTTTCGAGTTGAACATAAAATTCGCGACCACAGTGTCTTACAGTCACTTAGGCGGAATTTCTAAGATGCAGGCGATCTTTACATTTTGGGCAAAACTCATGAGGACGTGATTTCGTAGGCCCCTAACTCGGTGATTGCTATAGTTTGAAGCCAGATGCATGCACCGTTGAATAGCACGCCTTCTAGTGAATTTAACCTGCAAAGGCAAGCAAGCAGATTTTCTAAGAGGTGCTCGAAAAATGCAGGCGAATCTGCGAACTTGCGCGGCTTAGCTAAACTTCCCTCACCATATCTCTGCTAGAAAGCTCTGTACTCCGCGCAAAAGACGATCATCGTAAACAGCGCGTTCGAAAACCTCTTTGAGCG